AAAAAAAAACCCTTGGCTTCGAGTAGATTCCAACTCATAGCAACCCTATAGGACAGAGTAGAACTGCCCCATAGGGTTTCAAAGGAGCACTTGGTGGATTCAAACTGCAGACCAGTTGCTTAACAACGGCCTAACTCTTAACCACTACACCGCCAGGGGTTCCAAACTTTAAAACATATATCTTTGATAAATTTAAATTTTAAAAGACTGAAAAATAGCTCAAGGTATTACTTGTGGTTATGTTTAGATGGTATTGCTTTTCTTCTGTTTTTCTCTACTTTTAATATCAAAAGCATATTAGTTTTATATATAAAAATAAACTATTGTAAGAGAGAAACTGAAGGTCAGAAAGGTCAGTTTTCTAATTTTATATAACTTGTAAGCAGTGGAGCTGGGATTTCAGCACAACTCTGTCAATCTGGAATCATTTTTATCTTTCATTACAGCATTCAGTCTTCATTAAAAACCAAGAAGTAAAAATGTCATGCCACAACATTCTCTCCCATCTTTGTTGGTCCATGATGCCTCTTTTCTACACTTATCTAATTCTCAATTGCTTTTGTGTATTTATACTCATCTAATTCCAGAAAGGTGAAAGACTGGATTCTAAAGGTACATAAACAACAACAACAACAAAAAAAAAACAGTTGCCATTGAGTCTCTTCTGCTCATGGTGACCGCATGTTGCAGAACAGAACTGCTCCACAGAGTTTTCATGGCTGTGACCTTTTGGAAGCATATTGCCAGGCCTTTCTTTCAAGGTGCTTTTAGGTGGATTTGAACCACCAACCTTTCTGTTAGTAGACAAGTGCTTAACCACTTGTGCCACTCAGGGACTCCTCCAAAGGTATATATGCTATAACCAAAAAAACCAAACCAAACCTGTTGCCAGCTATAGCAAAATAAAATAAAATGAGAGCAAGGCAAAGAGTGTTTGCTTATTCAGCTTTTGTCTTCCCAGAATACCCAATGAGTCACACTGAGTCTTTCTGCTCTTCTTGGGAGTGTAAGTTTCCTTAGGCTGTGACTGAATCTCAAGCTCTTTTTGTTTTTCCACTGGTGACTGGCAGAGCCCTGGACATGGACAAGCTTTATGATTGGTTGTTGATTTGACTTGCTAGCAAAGCCGTGGCTTCTGGAGAAGTGACTTCAGCTTTTCTCCTCTCTTGCTGTGACTGTCTTAAAAGGGTATAAGTGAGCCCTTTTTTTTTTTTTTTTTTTTTGGTAACTGTCTCCATTTGGGAATGCAGCATGACACAGGCTAAACATTCACCTAATTGTCATAGAAAACTGTAAAATCTACCACAGCTGTATTTTTAACCAGAGCTTAAATTTTGTCTGTCCTTTTTCTCCCTTTCTTGGCAAACCACACAACAACCATTTTTTAAAAATGGGCAACATCACGGCAGGACTTACAAGGCGGGCTGTTCTATCTTCTTTCTGACTACATGTATGGCAGAACTGTGATTTAATGTTGGTGCCTTTTCTGTTGCCATAGTAAGGTACATTCACTTCTGTCCAAAGATTGTGCAGCTCCAACAAAGAAAATACCTTCTGACCCCTGCTGCTAATTATCCTTTCGTTGCTGTGGGGTTTTCATCCATGTCCTAACTTAAGAAGGTTGATGCTTGTGAAGGTGATGGAGTGGAGAATGACAGCTCTTGGCATCGCTGAGCTCAAAGAACAAGAAAGTCAATCCCTGAGATTTTTGAGACAGAAACCAAATGTCTGAGGAGAAGTCTGAAATTGTAGTATTAGATCAACATTCAATGGAGACTTTCTTTACCACCTATCTCATTAAGGAGCCTTTTGATAATAGATTGTTGGTAAGACATTTCTTAGAAGATACACATTATAAATGATTAAAAAAGAAACCAAACCTGTTGTCGTCGAGTCTATTCTGACTCATAGCAACCCTATAGAACAGAGTAGAACTGCCCCGTAGAGTTTCCAAAGAGCACCTGGTGGATTTGAACTGCCAACCTTTTGGTTAGCAGCTGTAGCTCTTAACCATTACACCACCAGGGTTTTCATAAATGATGAAGTGCTATGAAATCAACATAAAGGAAGATACCTTTAAATATTTTCCCCTCAAAGCCATCCCTATTCTCTGGAATTTTGATGATGATACTTCCTATTCTTCTTCCTCCGTTTAACAAGTGTTTAGTATATTTAACGTTGTATTCTAGAAAAGGCTTGCAAAAACTAAAGCAGTAGGAGCAACAACAAAAAAAGATGGTGTCAAAAACTATTGATCTAAAACATAAATGGTTTTAACAATCTTGGAGAAAAGACTTTTTAAGAAAAGATATAAACCAAAAGGATAAAAACAAAAAATTGATAAATTTGACTATATAAAATTAAAAACTTCTGCATTATTAAAAATGCCATAAAGTCAAAAGCCAAATGAACAGCCTAGAAAAATATTTCTGAGACATGTTCAAACCAAACCAAACCCATTGCGGTCAAGTCTACACCAACTCATAATGACCCTATAGGACAGAGTAGAACTGCCCCATAGGGTTTCCAAGGAGCAGCTGGTGGATTCGAACTGCTGACCTTTTGGTTAGCAGCCACGCTCTTAACCACTACACCACCAGGGCTCCAAGACATGTTCAAGAGAGGTTAATTTACTTAACATATTAAATGTACTTCCAAATGAAAAAGATTTATAACTCATTAAAAATATCAAAAGACATGAATAAGCAGTTTACTGAAAAAATACACATACAAAGATATGCAACTTCACTCAGAATTAGGGATATGTAAAGTAAACCATGAATGTATTATTTTTTCACTTAGCAGATCAAAGATGGTTAATGTCATAGTGTTGGCAAGGAGTTGGACAAAAAGTCATTCTTACACATTAGTGACATGAAGGAAATTTGGTGCAATGTCTTTTGAGGGCTAGCTGGCAACATCTACCAGATTAGAAAATCCACATGCTCTTTGACACAGCCATTCTGTTTCTATAAAGTTAGCTTACAAATGTGTGCATGCACAAAAGCTGATCAATGTTCATGGTAGCATTGTTGGTAAAAGCAGATAAGCCATATTTGAAAATCCATCAACAGGTTACATATTTTATGGTACATTCACACAATGAAATAAAAAGGAACTGTTTAAAAGAATTAGATCTATATGTGATGATTGGCAGTTCAAGTCTACCTGGAGGCACCTCGGAAGAAAGGCCTGGCAATCTACTTCTGAGAAGTTAGCTAACCATTGAAAACTCAATGGAGTGCTAGCTTTGGCAGCATATACACTAAAATTGAACAATACATAGAATATTAGCAAGGCCCCTGCACAAGGATGACACAAATTCACGAAGCAGTCTATTTAAAAAAAGAAACGAAAACTATGAAGCACAGATCTACACAGATCTGACACACATGGGGTCACCATGAGTTGGAATCGACTCCATGATCACTGTTTGTTTTTTTGTGTGTGTGATGATATGACTGGACAGAGACAATATAATTTTGTAGACAGGGCTTAACAATCTATGTTCTTATAAGAACAATTGTATGTTCCTATTGCTGTTAAAAATACATATGTGCAGAGAAACTCTTTTAAAGGATACACAAGAAGTTCACAGTGGTGGCCCTCTTGGTAATGGAACTGAAAATGTGGGATAAAAAGACTTAATTTTCACGGAATAATGTTTGTACTATTTATCATTTGTGATTATTAGTTCTTATATCTTAAATGAAAAATAAGTTTTGGTTTCCCTTACCCCATAGGGCTCATTCACTGAAGCGACTTTTGATTTATTATAGTGGCTGACCTGTGAATCAGGTGTAATTAGCCCTATTTTACAGATGGGAGCATTGTGATTTGGAAATAACTTGCCTAAGGTCATGCAGGTGGTGTTTTTGGTTCCATAATCAGTAGAAAGATTTACATAAACATCAAGATGTGCAGTTCTCAAAAGAAAGATTCACATATATTTATGATTTGGTCCTAAGGTTAGAATATATATATATATTCTATATAAATATATAAACATAATATATATATATAAATATATATAATCTATATAAATATATATATATAGGAAAAGTGAAATATTTTCCAAATATTTTTATCCACAAGAATAGGAAAAAAATATATGAGTTTTCTGTTTTATCTCCTAGAATACCCTTCTTTCAAATTGCAAGTGTCAGAATGTTATACCCAACTCTTAAAAGGGTTTTCCCTTTTCTTTCCAGCAACATGGTTTATTGTTTAGAATGTTGAGAATGGAGAGATGGTAAGAGAAATAAAGGAAATAAAAAGCATCAGCCCTAGATTCCAGAATCAGCTTATATATGTTGAGGGAAAAACTTCGGAAAACTTGACTTGACCTGTGTTATTCTAAAAGGAGGGGCAAAGAAATCCCATCTCACATCCCCTGATTTTACCTCTGGGATGGGTAGGTACACAGTAAGAACAATATTTAAGATGACTATAAAAATAGCGGTGAAGAGCCTGGGTCCAGAATCAGAAAGGTGCATCTTGAATGTAATGGATGTAACTAAGCAGGCTCAAGTGGGTTGATTCTTTCCACTCCCTCAAGCCCGGGTGTGTGCCTTTATGCAACAGCAGTCAAGCAGTTGTTGGCTCAGTTGTTTTCTCTAGTAAGTATGAACATGCCAGTGAGCTAAGTGTGATTCTAGTGATTTTGCTTAATTTTCATACAGTAGCCCCTAAATGCAATCCGTCTGCCTCCTTGGGTGTTCTCCCAAGGGAGACTAAACCGTGCTGACCTTTTTGAGAGGCTCTCTTGGTATTCAAAGTGGTATCTTCTTAGGGGATTTTCAAGTGTAGTTTTGCCTAAACAAGGTTTTGCATTACTTTATGTATTTAGCACCTAATGTCTACATAAATGAGTTGCTGAATTATTTATGACTGTGGAAAATTACTTAGTTTCTCTGAGACTCAGTACCCTTATTTTTATACCCTACGAGATTGTTCTGAGGATGAAGTGAGACATGAAAACTAAATGTGTTGCCTTAGTCATCTAGTGCTACTATAACAGAAATACCGCAAGTGGATGGCTTTAACAAAGAGAAGTTTATTCTCTTACAGTCCAGTAGCCTAGAAGTCCAAATTCAGGGAGTCAGCTCCAGGGGAACGCTTTCTCTGTCGGCTCTGGAGGAAGGTCCATGTCATCAATCTTCCCTTGGTCTGTGAGATTCTCTGCACAGGAACCTCAGGTCCAAAGGACATGCTCTGCTCCTGGCACTGCTTTCTTGGTGGTGTGGAGTTCCCATGTGTCTCTGCTCGCTTCTGTCTTTTGTATCTCAAAAGAGATTGGCTTAAGACACTATCCAATCTTGTATACCTCATCAGTATAACTGCCACTAATGCTATGGTGATTGAATTTACAACACATAAGGAAATCACAGCAGATTACAAAATGGTACACAATTATACAATACTGGGAATCATGACCCAGCCAAGTTGACAGATATTTTTAGGGGACGCAATTCAATCCATGACATGTGCATTGACACACGAACAGATCCCCATGCCTGTTGAATCTGTATCTAGTTGATTTGTGGGAGAATGTGCACTCACCCAAAAGACAAACTCTAAAATAAGTCCTTTTAAGATATTTTTAAAAAAGTCTCCCAGGTGATGTCATAATTTCAGTACACATTCAGCTTTGTTGATTGACCTGATACACCTCCAGGAAACCTTAAGAGCACTGAGCTGACCTGATGATTGCTAAGATGGGATGAAAAGACCTGTGTGAAAACAAGACTTTGAGGCATATAAGGGAGACTCCTTTGCCTGTTTGTTTTCCACAGGCCACATACCCTGGTCTAGCCCTGTATGTCTAAGTGAGAACCCAGCTCTGCCCTCTGCTCTTACTCAACCCCTACCTTCCAGGCCCTACAAAGATCCAGGGGCTACCACTGTCTCCAGAAGCCCTTTAAGTCTTCTTGACATGAAAGCTTCTTAGTGAACAAGAAAGAAACCTTTGGAACATGATACAGGGACAAGATACAAGAAGTAAACACAATAAGTATTATCTTTGCTTTAGAGATTAGTGAAAACACTGCAAGAACACCACACCATAGACTATGCAAACCTCAAATGTGTAGCAATGACTCTGATGGCTGCTATTTACTACCATGTTGCCTGATGATATCCATGTGCTATGATAACAGCTTAAAGTGGTATTTGTTGGGAGCTATGGATTATGATCCACTACCCGTCTGTCAGCTTGTCATACTATGGTGGCTTGCATGTTGCTATGATGCTGGAAGCTATGCCACTGGTATTTCAAATTCTAGCAGGGTCACCCATGGTGGACATGTTTCAGTGGAGCTTCCAGACCAACAAGAAAGACCTGGTGATCTGCTTCATAAAATTAGCCAAAGAAAAGCCTATGGATAACAGAAGAATATTGTCCAATATAGTGGTGGAAGATGAGCCCCCTAAGTTGAGAAGTAGTCAAAATACACAGTGGCTCTAACAATGGACTCAAGCATGCCAACAATCATGAAGATGGTGCAGATCAGGCAACGTTTCATTCTGTTGTACCTGGCATTTTGATAAGTCAGAACTGACTTGACGGCAACTAATAACAACAAATGAATTATGATATTCTCTAAGTAGTAGTAGTAGCAATAGTAGTAGTAATAGTAGTAGTAGTAGTAGTAGTAGTAAACGTAGTAGTTCTAGGCAGGAGTCTAAGTACTTTGCTTAACTAATTTCATCTTCCTATCAACCCTATGATGTATGTGCTATTTTATGTCCATTTTATAGATGAAGAAACAGAAATAGAAAAGTAGATTGCCAAGATTCCACAACTAGTAATTGGTGGAACTGGAATTTGAACCCAGGTAGTCTGGCTCTTGAGACAGTGCTCTTAATCTCAGGAGTTGGCAAGCTTTTCTGTAAAGGGCCACATAGTAAATATTGTAGGCTTTGCAGGCCCTCTGTTACATATTCTTTGTTTTCTGACATTGTTTAAAAAATGTAAACAAATTCTTCATTCATGGGCTGGACAGAGACAGGCTGCAGGCCCATTTTGGTCTGTGGACCATAATATGCCGACCAACACTGCATATGCTGATCAAAGGTTTAAGTAAAACAAGGTATGCTATTCACATTCTAAGGAAAATCCTACATACCTCTAATACAATTGCACTGCTGCTAACAAAATAATCTGAAATTCTAATTTCATCTCTCCCTCATTTTATCGGAACTTAAGAAGTTTGGTTGCACTTTAAAATCAGCCATCCTGCTAGCTTAGGCTGCTATTGTGGGACTTTAAGAAGGAGTATAAGGATTGAATAAGAGCTCTTCTTCCAGCTACTTTTAATTTGCTGTTAAACAACTCCCTAGAAGCCTAGACAATATGCCAAGAACTCCGGGTGTCTTACCATTAAATATACCCCTGCAAATCAGGGTCATTAATCCCTCAAAAATGCCCCTTCTTGTTTCCCCAAGGACCTTACTCACATGGAAGTAACAGATGGTAGATGTTTAACCTAAAGTTTCTTTTTCCCAAGATCTGTATCACTAGGATTTTGTGACTTGTTTGTCCACACTACTGTATAACCTTCAAAAAACCAACTGTACATTCTTTTATCACAAGATTGTAAATGGTATATAAGCAAAAAAAAAAAAAAAAAAGTTTTGCAATAATCGCAGCAGTTTCTCTAGAACTGACTGCCCATTTGCAAACATCTCTCTCTATTAATAAATAGTTTATCCTTTTAATTGGCAGGATCTTATTGTTTTTAACACTGTCATTGGCTGTCTCCCTAGAGTGTTTTATTACACATAAAAGTGATTTTAGGCATAGTGGTTCTGGACTGGAATCCCTTTTTTCTTTGACTGGAAGTAAAGGGCATAAATAAGATATATTACCCTTCAGACTTAAGGTCTGAAGAGAGAAGCCCAAGATGGTGGTGCTTAGTCAGATACAGCATGCCCTTCCCCTACAGCAAAGAGTGAGAAATCAAGTGAAACAGATATGGATGACAGCCTTGGAATCCTGAGCAGCAAATGGAAGAATGAAGAATTGTATCAAACACTAAATGGAAGGAGAAACTGAATGAAAACCGTGAACAAGGAGATTTATGGATCATAGGCACCCTGCCAACTGGTCCAACACAGTGTAGCCATCTTGAGACAAGATGAGCAGCGTTCCTGGAAGAGGAGCACAGGATTACAAATTCACAGAGTTTCCAATAGGAGACAGAGATAACTGTGTAGACAAACCCAGAGTGAACCGAGGTGAGAAGAACATGAGCCAGATTTAAGGGGGAAAATGCAAGAAGATGGGTGAAAGCTCCAGGGATCCAGGTGACCACAGAGCAAGGAGGCAGCCAGAAATAAGAG